GGATTTCTGGAGAAGGTCAGCAGGAATTTCTAGGAGAGATCGGGTCCGTAATGATAGTACCTATAGTGAACACTCCTACCGAACGCCTACCGGATATAGTCACGCCACGCCACTGCTTGTTTGGTATGGTCATGTCAATAGGATGACGGAAGAGAGGCTGCCAAAAAAGATGCTTCATTGGGTTCCTCCTGGGAGGAGACGTAGGGGACGCCCAGTGAGAGGTTGGCGACAGGGGGTGTTAAATGAAATAAGAGATTGTCAACTCCCTGATGACCTGTGGGAAGATCGAGCTTTGTGGCGAGTAGGCGTCGTAAAGCGCCAAAGAACGCTGTAAAAGCGACTCATATGTATGTAAGGGATGAAAGTTATGGGCGTCCCTTAAACAGAATCACTAAAATTTTGGCTAGAAAAAATTCCTTACTTTTTCAGGTTTCCCTGGACCAAAATCATCAGAATTCCCTATTCTTTCACATCAACACTGATTCAACAGTTCTCACGCGTGCAACTGAAATACAGCCGTACGTTGTTATGGCGGTTCCGAAGGGACATTGAAAGTAAAACGTTGTTTCCAGAAAAACGTTATTTCGAACAACCCTTAAACGAGACCAGGCCAGCAGGGGCTTGGAAAAGTGAACGTTATTTCTGGAAAAACTTCTTTTCGAGGGATGTTAGGACGCGCTATGACTGTGGAACAATGGCAATAATTTCATTGCTACGGACAGAAACACATATACCTTTTTTCTTGAGGCGTTAATTATTCAATCGATTTAAATTGCAATTCCTGATTAAAAACCATTCCTCTCTTCACTAGGCAGAGTGTGACTGAAAGATCTGAGCCCCGAACGTGGCTGATCGTGAGATTCAGTCTTGTGTGGACAGCGCTGATGTTTTCCTTTCAGATATTGAATTTCGCGATTTTTTCAAGTCTTCGCAGAAATGTCCAGTCCTCTTCAAAGATTTCTAAGACTCTTCCCTAATTGTCCGGACAGGATGAAATTTCCAGACAACTCCCGGTTATCTGGACTCGTAGGCACACTGTGAAAATCACATTTTTGCTGGGGAAAAAAATCAATGTTTAATTTATTTGCGGAGGAAGCTTTTGCGCACTAATCAATCCTATCAGGCTCACTATATGAATAAATTCAAAACATTTCCATGGAGACTTATACATCAAAATTATTGTTTTTCCTTTATTCTCATGTTTTCCTCTCGTTTTTTTTCCTTTGGTGACCCGAGTCCCTGAGGACAAACATATCACTCCGGCGTCAATTAGGCGAGGTGCAGTGCGAGTAGGCACCGGCAGTGGCGTGGCATGCTTTGCGATACATCGATTGATCGGCAATTTAAACCTGAGGAAAAGGATCGATAAATGGAATGTTCGCAACGAACACCTTAATAATCGATTTTTCACCACAGCTTCAAATGGGGAAGATCGATAATCGATCAATAATTGCGCCTCGCCACTGGCACGGATACGGGAGCGGGATGGTCGCGGCACCAAGGGCCAAGAGATTTTCAACTTATGGAGAAGAACGCGAATCAATGGTGAAACAAAATTATTATTTATCGACCCACCGGCGCACAGTGCATCGAGTCGATAGGATAGGTCGAACAAAATTCGGAAAGTTTAAACGCCTGTAACTCAGTTTATACAAAATTTTAAGGTTCTAAAAGTGGTTCCGATGGTTTTCTCGGGAAATTTTCATTTGGAAGCACCCCTTGCGATTCAAAATTTTTCAGCCGATTTTCTCTTTAATACTATGTAAATTTAGGCCATGGTTTAAAAACAGAGTGCAAGAGAATGGTTATTTGAAAATTACCTTAACGTGGTGATAGTAGCAAACGATTCGACCACGACCATAGAGATTTTCTACAATAGTTGGAC